TGGGATGAGTTCCTGGTTATGCAACTCCATCTGAGGGATTATGTGGACCTTACTAATATTTCTAAAAGGGTTTGTTCACAACTGCTTGTACCAGGTCAGATTATATGAAGAAGAAAAAGAAAGAACAAAGAAGGTCTAGGAAGTTAGGGAGACTACTTTATAAATCTTGCCACTCATGTCATATTATGGAATCAGGAAAGAGCTGTTTCCAAACTGATGAACAGGCCTGTTATTCAAAAGTGGATTGAACAAAACAAAAAGTCAAAAGTACAACACTAGATAAATCTGGGTTGAGCAAACCTTGGTTTTTCTGTAATGACTGTGGGATGGAGGATTACTCTAGGACTGAGTGGACAAAGGTAAGCAATTCTGAGTTAGTGCAAGAGAAATTAATTTCTAGGTAGAGCCATGTCTCAGAGTCTTCAAAAACAGCTGGGGATTGCAAAGTTGATGCTAAAATTCAAGATCCATATATAAAGATGTGAGGGTGAACAAATTCCCAGGTGGCCTGCATAGCTTCAGAGTTTTATGAAGAACATTTGTCACATACAGAATTGCATCCAATTGAAAAAGCACTTCAGATAATAGGAGCAGGTGGTCAAGATGTTCCTTTTTTGGGATATATCGTTGTGTTGGTTAGTTTTCCCAAACAAAACTGTGAAACAGAAAAGAGTCATGTTGTTTTTGCTTTAGTATGCCCTGATCAAAACCCTCCTGCAGAAGTGCCAGATACTGTGGATACTAACATTCTGTGGAAATCTAAAGATGACTGTGAATTTAAAGATCCCTACATTTTCTGAAGAAGCTCAGGATTAATATGGTATGGCCAAAAGTATATGCAGTGTGCAAAGTGCAAGAGAAGATGTGGGAAATGTGGCAGGAAACCCCCAAAGAATAATAAGAACAGCACCAAGTATTTCTCTTGCAACATGGCTCTGTGTAGTTTTTAAGCTGAGTAACCTGATAAAGTGATGCTCCTGTGTTTGTAGTTTTATTTAAGCACTCTGCTAACTAGTGAGAACTGGACTAACCACACCAGTTAACCCCAACACTAATAATATTTTCAGACACCCTAGAAGAACATGAGGCAAGCCTGATGAAAGTTCTACAACAGCTGATAGAACATGAGTTAAAGTTATCTGTTTCCAAAAGTAAATTCTTTCAAACATCAGTGAAGTGCATGGGGCATGTCATCTCACAGGAAGGTATACAACCTGACCCAGATGAGCTGTCTGCTTTAATGGACTGGCCAAAGACTGAAAGAACTGAGAACCTTCTTGGGGTTTGCGGGGTATTATAGGAGATTTGTAAAGAATTACTCAACTATCACTAAGCATTTGACTTCACTTCTGGCAGGCAGAACACAAGGTAGAAAAAGAAATAGTGATTCTGGTAAGCATTCTCAGAAATTAGGAGGAGAGCAGTGCAGAAGGTGTCAAGAAGCCTTTGATGCTGTAAGAAAATTGTTGACAACTGCACCAGTCTTCCAGATTTTCTAACTGAAATCTCATAAATACTAGCTGCAAAGCTCATTGTAGAGGAAGACAACGGGCCCTAGAAAGGTAGGGT